ACCCACCAGATTAAAAAAAAATCTAAAATAAATAAGCTCATATAAATTTAGTTTGACCTCCTGAGTTTGACAATCATCATTTTCTGAAGGTTAAGCACCCCTGTTCACTGATCATTTGGTAAAAAAAAAATAATAATAATTAAAAAAAAAATATATATATATATTGACATTTGTGAAAAAAGTCATAAAGTAGTAAACTTCTACTGCCAGTTTCTTGCTGGTAAATTACAATCTTAATGGCACAACGGTTTGAAAAGATGCCAGAATTTAGCTAAACAAGTCAAGTTTAATAGGCAATCAAATCCTTAAGTATTGAGGTTTGTTACCGCTACAGAAAACAAAAGCATTGTTAAATACAGTACGCTCTGCTGCATCACACACTTGTTTTGTGTAAAGTGTTTCTGGCCTGAAATCTCAGAATGGCCTCTGCTTCACACACTCAAGCTTAAGCAAGCACGACGCCTGCCGTCTTTAGCAGATCCCCGGACGCTCAGGGAAAACACGCGAGCTTGTGTAGCACTCGTCCCCGCTGTGAGTCTGAACACAACATAAAACACAACTTATCTCCCTCACTCATTCCATCAAAACCACTCTTTTTCTCTGACTCTATTTTCTCAGTCCGTACTATAAAAAAAAAAACCTTCATCCCACATACTGAGTTTGTTCTTTTTCCCCGTTATGGACAGAGATGACACACGACACAAGAAGTGATGAGAAAACTGTGGGGAGGCTTCCAGTAGATTGATTCTCCCAGCTCCTCATTCTTTTCTAGTTAGTCTTTTATTGACTACAAAGGTAGGGGCGAGGCGCGGGGAGAAGACGGGCCTGGCCTGTTTAATCCTGAGGGCATAGCAGGAAGGTGATCACTTCTTAAGGCCTACAAGGAAATCAGCGGCATGGAGGAACACTTAAGCTGCTTTAAAACACAGGATGGGAAGAGTTCAGTGCCACTTCTCACCAGGGAGGACAAGAGACAGACAAAAACAATGAAGACGACTGAAGGAGAAAAAGAGACACAGCGAGACGGAGGGAATCATAAGGTAAACTGGTTCAGTCAAACGCCATTTGCAGCCCATTTCACTTCCACAGTGTAGTATATTAATAAGTCAAACGGAATATGAAAGGACATGGAAACAGGTAGGGCTGGGTTTTGACACAAATTTCACAATTCGATTCGATTCTCATTCACAAGCTTGCGATTCGATTCGATTCCCGATTCGATTCGACTCGATGTCGATTATTTTGGATAAATATCAGGTACAGTACATGACAAATTTTCTCAAGCAAAAATAATCTCTTAACTAATGCTGTAAAATATACATGAGAGTCTGTTGGTACTACATTACTATAATATTGAAGGTTAAAACTGACTGATTTTTTAGGCTAAAACAACTGTTTAAATTACAATTATAATAAAATAAGTTACAATTACATAATAATATTTCTACTTCATTGAAGAATAGTAAAAGTTATAATGAATATATGGTGCATATATTTAGCAAAAAATGCTCCTCTACAGTTAATTTTTCTAGCTGACTAATGAGATTATTGTCACCAAATATGTTTTTCTGAGGTAAATGTGACGTTACGTGACATTGTTTACAAGCCATTATATTGACGTCTTTGC